GTTGTGTGATTGTTGTGAGAATTGCAAGATTAAACCCGTAGAAAGTACCCTGCCTGGCACATCCTCAGTGATGGAATATTTTGGCAGGAGTGTAAGAGCCCATTTTAAAACCCTGGGTTCAGTTCTTCCTTAGAGTAGAGTCCTAATTAATAAATGTAGAAGGAATGATGGAAATAGAAAAATCACCAGCACCATTGTAATGACTATTGTAAGCATGAACCAGTAAGGGATGCTAAAATTAATGGGCAGAATGATGAGAAACAGGATACTTGCTTAGCCTCAAAGTATCTCTCCAGAAGATACTTAATCATTACCAGTGGAAAAATGGTAACTTTACTGCAGAGAAATCTGGTAGACCTCACCTCACCACACGATCCAGGTTAAATTAGCAGTAATAAGACACATCAATATCATGTATGTCCTGGTACGGTGCACTGAGAAGGGCACATCTCTGTGGCATACTTCCCAAAATGCATGCCCTTAATCTCCTATGAGCACACATGAGAATAACCTAAATTGAGAGGCATTGTACAAAATAACTGTAGCAAGATCAGGCCAGGCACAGTAATTCTGTAATTATGAGTTACAGGCATGTAACTCTCACACCTCTGCAAGAGACCCCACTACTAGTATTCCTCAAAAGGTGCTCCTTTAACCTCTGCTTGAGTGACTCTGAGAATGGAGGGCTCACTATTCTACTCCTTTGGATGATTTTTAGCTTGTGAGCCCAAGTGCTATTGATAGCAGTGAGAAATTGGAAATAACCCAAATGAATAGGACCAGGTAATCTTAGCTACCAAGATGATAGAGCACTGTGTGGCCACTGAAAGTGATAAAAATGTGGCCTATCTTAATGCACAGAAATGTGTATATGCAGTAATCCAAAGTGACAAGGGCAGAACAGTAGTTGCCTTTACACAATGATCACAGCTATGTTCACATCTCAGTGTGTACAATAAGAGCTGGAAGATAATTTAGAAGGCCACAAATAGTTGCAATTTTGAGTTGCCTTGATTTTTTAAAAAAGTGACCTATGTATAGAATTTTAAATAAATTTAGTATGCAGAATTTTATTTCTTTATTTTATTTAATTATAATTTTTTTTGAGACTGAGTCTCACTCTGTTGCCCAAACTGGTGTGCAATGGCACGATCTCGACTCACTGCAACCTCTACCTCCTGGGTTCAAGTGATTCTCATGCCTCAGTCTCCCGAGTAACTGGGATTACAAGTGCCCACCACCGCACCTGGATAATTTTTGTATTTTTAGTAGAGACGGGGTTTCACCATATTGGCCAGGCTGGTCTCAAACTCCTGAACTCAAATGATCTGCCTGCCTTGGCCTCCCAAAGTGCTGGGATTACAGGCATGAGCCACCGTGCCCAGCCTAGAATGCAGAATTTAAAAAAAATCCTCCATTAAGGGACTTGGGGATTGTCATGTCATGATTGATTGAGAATGTCTGCATGGAACATTAGATAGGGAGGGATTCTAAGGCCATGTTTGAGCCCCATGGGAGTGACATGATTGATTAGTGATGTCTGCCAATGGTGACGAATGAGCAGTGGCAGTGTGCATGCTGGGTAGTTGCCACCTCTTCTAGACACATTCCCATTCCTATTGTTATTTTGTCATTTTTGTAGACCTTCTGAAGATGAGTTTGTGATATTGAAGGGAACATGTGCAGGAAGAAACCTCTTCCAGTTAAAAGCTTTAGGATTTTGAGTAAGTCACTGGAATATAAGATGGTATGAAACAAATACCTTAAGGGAACAAAAGCAAAATTCTCCACAATAACAGTCAGTTTGAGAGTAGGTGGGCTCAACGGAGAAGACTTCGTGGCATTCGTGCTGGGTCTTGAAGGATGAGGAGGTTTTACAGGTGTCTATGCTCAGGAAGCGTATTTCAGATGGAGGGCATAGCGTGGATAAAGGCATGGAGGTGAGAAAATAATAGGCCTCCTGGGGAGAAAGAAAGTAAAGTGTGTATGTAGGTTAGTTGTAAAAGATGATTTTGGAAATGTAGGAAATGGAAAATGTCCTGAATGCCAAGATAACAAGTTTGAGTTTTATTTAGATAGCGGTGGGCTTCTGGTGAGTTTTGATGCAAATGATGCTTAAAGGAAATGAGACTAGAAGGCGCCAAGAAAAAGCCTGGGCACCACCACCATGAGGGGACCTGAGGACCCAGAATTTGACAAAATCCTCTAGGAGCATAGGCTAGCAATCAGAACCCTGGGATAATGGGGTATGGAAGCTATAACTAAGCCCCAGAGAGACAATCTCCTGAGCTCTATCCATTGTTCAGAGATTTCCTGAGCTCTGAGCCAGGCACAGGGATCAGCAGCTGTGGGCTCTGCTCTCTGGGAGCTTCTAGTCTATGGAGAAAAAAACAACATGGCCCTGGGAAACAACTGGAGACCAATCCCAGACAGTGTGAGATCCAGTACCAAGGGAAGGACACCAGCTGGGTGTGCAGCATTTAGGGGTAGAATTTGGGTGAAAGCCAGCAGGTCAGGCATCCTGGGGCTTCTGTACTCGCAGGAGGTGGCCTGGAAGACTTCTAAGATATCTTTTGGCACTGCAGGCCTCTGGCTCTTGGAGGAGAGACCTTGAGGGAGAGCAGAATTTGACCATGTAGCAGGGAGAAAAGTGGGTTTTTCAGATATGGGGGGCAGCAGACAGGGCAGACCACAGGCAGGAGAGGACTTGGGATCTGGCCGAGCTGTCAGAAGATCCATTGGGTAGGCAGAGGCTGTAGGCCCCATGGTCTGGCAGCCAAGTAGGGATGCCCTAGCTTGATGCAGTCGGTCAGGGACTCTCAGAGGGATTTGTTGGGACTCGGGTATTTGGGGAAGGTTAGCCTGGCAGCAGCCAGACTCCTGGAGTCCTACCAGATAAAAAAAGGGTCCCTGAAGCCTTTGTTGGGGAATCTGGAGGCTTCACATGACTTACGGCATCCCATGAATTCTGTTATATTAAAGGATTTGGCAAGATTCCAATGACCCAGGCTGGGCGCGTGGCTCTCACCTGTAATCCCAACACTTTGGGAGGCTGAGGCAGGCGGATCATGAGGTCAAGAGATTGAGACCATCCTGGCCAATATGGTGAGACCCCATCTCTACTAAAAATATAAGAAAATTAGCTGGGTGTGGTGGCACGCACCTGTAGTCCCAGCTACTTGGGAGGCTGAGGCAGGAGAATTGCTTGAACCCAGGAGGTGGAGGTTGCATTGAGCCAAGAGAGAGCAAGACTCCATCTCAAAAAAAAAAAAAAAAAAAGATTCCAATGATCCTATAACTTTTATTTACCTGCTCTTCCAAATATGGGGACTCGCCCCAACCCAGGGAAGGCACTCCCTATCTTGTCTTTCACCTCAGAGTCCAATGTACCTCTAGGGACTGCAGGGAGGAATGGGAGCTGAGTCGGCTTGAGACACCATCAGGTAGGGACCTCCCTTCTGTGCCAGGCCCAGCCGACTTCTAGTCCTCCCTCCCCTCCCCCATTATAAGGCTTGGGGAAGCTCCAGAGCTCTGGCTGGGCAGTGGGTGGCAGTGGCCAGAGTGGAAAATCCCCCACCTGCTGGATGATATCAGTGTTTAGCAGATCTGGTCCTGGCCTTCTGCCTGGGGCCTAAGGACCTGACAAATCTGCTTGGAGCCCTGAGTATGGGGTACAAGGTGGCAGAGAGGATATTGGCATGGGGATTTTTTTCCACTCACTCCAAAATGGAGAGCTATCCTGGGCCAGGTGGGCAGGCACTGGGCCAGCTCCAGGTCACCTCAGGCAATGGGAAGCTGGAGCTGGGAAGTGGGGTGGGGGTTGGGGGAGGTAGGAGGAGGGGTGGGGTCCGAAGATGAGGGATAGAGGAACTAATAAATCAGACTTGGGGACTGCACAAGGGCTTGGGAGTGGGTCATGGGAGACATAGGCACTTTAGGAGAACTGGAGACAGAAGCAGGGACACAGTGGGGCAGAAGAGAGAACGAGGAACAGCAGCAGGGTGCAGGCCTGTCCTTCCTCATATGCCCCTGCTCCAGGCCTCTGATCCAGGCTGGTATGAGAGGCACAACCAGAAGCTGGTGTGGCTTACTCTATGAGTGCGTCCTGAGCATTTGCTGAATTATGACAAGCATTTCTCCAAGTGTCCTGTTTGATCTTGAAAGCCTCTGAAGCTGCTCAAATAGCTGTGACTTCAGCCATTGTCATCCCAGCTCCACCACCAGCACCAGAACTCCCGACACTGCCATCAGTACCACCCTCACCACCACCATCATCATAACCAGCATCCTAGCTACTGACCTCCTGACCCTCTGACACCCCTATCTCCTCCCCTGAGGGTTTGAGGGTGCTAGGAGTTAGGACTTAGAGTCAAAGCTCCAAGTACACAACCTAAAGACAAGAAGTTCTCAATGATTTTGCCCATCCAGAAGACACTTAGCAGTGCCTGGAGACATATTTGGTTGGCACAATGGGTGGACTGCTCCTGATGTTGAGTGGGTAGAGGCCAGGGATGCTGCTAAACATTCTACAGTATACAGGATGGGGTCCACAACAAAGAACTATTTGTTCGAAAATGTCAACAGCACTGAGGTTGCGAAACCTTGGCTATAGATCCTATCTATCCCAGCACTCTGCCTCTACCTTTTTCTGGCCCTCGTCCCCAAATGCACATATTATGCCTCTGGTTTGGGGACAAGACGTAATCTTCGCCACTCCATCTTACAGCAACTTTCTCTCTTTTTTTTTTTTTTTTTGAGACAGAGTCTCGCGCTGTGTCACCCAGGCTGGAGTGCAGTGGCGCGATCTCGGCTCACTGCAAGCTCCGCCTCCCGGGTTCACGCCATTCTTCCGCCTCAGCCTCCCAAGTAGCTGAGACACAGGCGCCCGCCACCACGCCCGGCTAGTTTTTTGTATTTTTAGTAGAGACGGGGTTTCACCATGTTAGCCAGGATGGTCTCGATCTCCTGACCTCGTGATCCACCCGCCTCGGCCTCCCAAAGTGCTGGGATTACAGGCTTGAGCCACCGCGCCCGGCCAACTTTCTCTCTTATCACTTGCACCTCCTGGCCTCTGATGCTTGAACTAAAAAGTCAATAAGATGAAAGTCTGTTGCGGCCACCCTCAAGAAGGAAAAATACACAGAAACAATTGATACACAAAGAACAGGGCACACCCTGGGTTGAGTGCATGGCTGCCCAGGGCAGCGACTAGGCTAATCCTGGGCATATAAAAGAGGAAAGAGTACCCAGGTCTTCACTTCACTGCGACTACAGAACTCGGAGTGGCTCTTCCTCTGTGGCCAGTTGGGGACCAGCATCATGAAGTGGTTGGTGGTGGTCTTGCTCTGCCTCCAGCTGTTGGAGGCAGCAGTGGTCAAGTGAGTCTGGGACCTGGCTGCTGGTGCAGGGAGCCTGGGTGGGAGCCTAAAGCCCTGCAAAGGGCACCCGGGCCAGGGGACACCCTGCCTGTCTTTACTGTGGGACTTCTGCTAAGGGAAGGGAAGCCTCCCTTTGCTGATGTTGGACAGGACACATGGGTGGAAGGAGACACAGCCCCTGCCTTCAGGAAACTTCCCACCAAAGGGAAAAGCACAATCCCTTCCCCCATCTGATGAGGAAAAGATAGACCTGAAACAGAGATGGTAGGGGTGACTACTGCCCAAGCAGCCCCTGAATGGCAGGTGTGGATTCTTCCCACAGAAGGGAGCAATCCTTTCTGGATAAGGGATATCTTATCCAGAATCCTTTCTAAAAATTGTTTTAAGGCTGAAAATTTACTGGCAGATGCCAAAATCATCTAAGCAGAAACACAGTAAATATAAATCTCTATACCCGAGGGGTCAGGAGAAAACTCTGGAGTAGATGGCATGGCTCACAGGCCGTCAGGAAGGCTCCCAGCCTGCCATCTTGCCTGTTATTTCTCTATCCAAGAGTACTTCCTGAGGCCAAGAGCTGGCTCCTCTCAGAAACTTCTATCAATATACATATTTGGTAGAGGTGGTTAATTAATTTTCATAGCTCAGGCTGAAGGGGTTTAGCAGAGAATTTCTGGAGAACGTAGAGTCTCCAGGAAATGGGAATTAAGCAGGAATTCTGGAACCTAGAGCAAGGCCAGAGTGGACCCCTAGAGACTCCCAGGCAATGGTAGCAAGGAAGTCTGGGAAGGAGAGTGCCGAGGGGGTGACTGAGCCCATAGGGAGGGACAGAAACTGTGATTTCTAAGTTCCAACTCCAGAGCTGATCTGTGGTCCAGACCACCCAGACCAACTTCCCACGGTCCTGGTGTCCTGAGAAGAGCAGTGATGGGGCCTAGGGCATGCAATTAGCAGCTGGGACAGAACTAGGACCCTGTGTCCTGAGTCCCAGCTAGTGCTGTTGCCCTTGCTCCATGCTCTGTCACATCCAGCTGTTGCCAGGTGCCTGAGGGCCGCTATAGGAAGGAACTCTGGGGTGAACTTTGCCATCTCTGAAATCTTCTTTTTTTATTTGAACAGAACTTTGCTCTTGTTGCCCAGGCTGGAGTACAATGGCACGATCTCGGCTCACTGCAACCCCTGCCTCCCAAGTTCAAGCGATTCTCCCACCTCAGCCTCCCGAGTAGCTGGGATTACAGGCATGCGCCACCATGCTCGGCTAATTTTGTAATTTTAGTAGAGATGGGGTTTCTCCATGTTGGCCAGTCTGGTCTCAAACTCCTGACCTCAAATGATCCACTCGCCTTGGCCTCCCAAAGTGCTGGGATTACAGGCGTGAGCTACCGTGCCCGGCCTGAAATCTTTTCTTAAAAATGTTAAAAATGTACATATCCTGGGCCGGGCACGGTGGCTCATGCCTGTAATCCCAGCACTTTGGGAGGCCGAGGCGGGCGGATCATTTGAGATGGGGAGTTCAAGACCACCCTGACCAATATAGAGAAACCCCGTCTCTACTAAAAATACAAAATTAGCTGGGCATGGTGGCCCTTGCCTGTAATCCCAGCTACTCAGGAGGCTGAGACAGAAGAATCGCTTGAACTTGGGAGGCGGAAGTTGCGGTGAGCCGAGATCGCGCCACTGCACTCCAACCTGGGCAACAAGAGTGAAATTCCGTCTCAAAAAAAAAAAAAAAAGAAAGAAAAACCAGTACATATCCTGGGCCGGGCCCGGTGGCTCACACCTGTAATGCCAGCACTTTGGGAGGCCTAGGCAGGCGGGTCACGAGGTCAGGAGTTCGAGACCAGCCTGGCCAACATAGTGAAACCCTGTCTCTACTAAAAATACAAAAAAATAGCTGGGCATGGTGACAGGCACCTGTAATCTCAGCTACTTGGGAGGCTGAGGCAGGAGAATCTCTTGAACCCAGGAGGCGGAGGTTGCAGTGAGCAGAGATTGTGCCATTGTACTCTAGCCTGGGTGACAAAAGTGAAACTCCATCTCAAAAAAAAAAAAAAAAAGTACATATCCTGAAAAGCGCAATGCCTAAAGTCCCTCTTCCTTTCCTGGGGAGGAATCTATGGGATATTTGACAGCAAAGGGCCAGGGAGATAGGAGGACCCTTGAGATGGGGTGAGGAGGGCATGCATGGATGGGTGAAATGAATGGTTTTCTGAATCTTAGAGTGAGTGCTGAGAAGAGCTTTGGAAGAAAGAGGGGAAGAGGCAAAGGGAGGAAGAAACACACACACACACACACACAGAAAAAGGCTGAGAGAGAGAAAGACACACACACAAATAGACAAGAGGGAACAGAGTGGCAGGGACGTTGAAGCATGCAGTTAAGAGAAGGAAAGAGAGAAAGAGAGGACTGGGAAGAGAGGAAGGAGGGAGGGCCTAGCCTCATACACAACCCTTCTGTAGAGTGCCCCTGAAGAAATTTAAGTCTATCCGTGAGACCATGAAGGAGAAGGGCTTGCTGGGGGAGTTCCTGAGGACACACAAGTATGATCCTGCTTGGAAGTACCACTTTGGTGACCTCAGCGTGTCCTACGAGCCCATGGCCTACATGGATGTGAGTCCTGACCCTTCCTGGGGGTAACCTTCTCTCTGGTGTGGGCTGGAGGGAAGGGGCAGGTCCCTTCACTCCTCTGCCTATGGAGAAGCCTGGGGCCCCTGCATCCCTCTGGAACTAACAGCCTGCTCCATGGCCCCCAGGCTGCCTACTTTGGTGAGATCAGCATCGGGACTCCACCCCAGAACTTCCTGGTCCTTTTTGACACCGGCTCCTCCAACTTGTGGGTGCCCTCTGTCTACTGCCAGAGCCAGGCCTGCAGTGAGTGCTGGGCTGGGCAGAGAGGGGCGGCGGGTAGGGCAAGGCACTGATACTCTCTGGGGAAGGCCAAACTTCCAGAGGGAGCTCAGGACTGAGGGGAACTCCATCCTGGGAAGGACCAGGGACATGTGCAGGGCCACACAGCATGCCCAAGCCAGAGGAAAGATGCTGGTCCTGCAGCTGGATGGCCCCTTTGCCTTCCCTGCCAATATGTATCCCTTTGCTTATACCAGCCCCTAACCCCCCACTCCCTTTTATTCCACTGTCCCCATTCTCTTTACTCTGGGCAGTGCCATTCCATTCAACGTGACTAATTTTCAGTCTATTCCATCCCACTCCATTCTACTCCATTCTATTCTGCTCCACCCCAGTATTTACTAAGTTCTCACTGAGTGTCTCCAAGAGACACAATAGAACAATATAGGATGTGGGCTCCATATTATAGTGGTTTTGGGAGATAGGCAATGTGTGCTTTCTTAAGGTTGCCTTGGTCCCTGCTGAAGCCTTGGGGTTTGGGTCCTGACACCTTTGGCCCAAAGGTCCCTTGATGGCCCCACCCTATGCTATGACTGGCTTCTTGATGAGTGAAGGTGGGGGCACTTGGGGATGCCCTAGAGGGCTGGGGGGAATGCTGGGATGTGGTGCAGGCCCATTCGCTTTTTCATCTGATGAGTAATTACTCAGCAGTGCTGTGAGCCAGGTGCTCTGCTGGGGGCCAGGGACTCAGAGCTGGGTTCTCTGCAGCCCTGACCACAGGGAGGCCACAGTCCTGAGGCATCCGAAGATTCTGTAAGTCAGAAGGGGCTTTAGGGCCAAGGCTGGCCAGCTCCCATGGACCTTCCAATGCCACCCCTTGACTTGGCAACCAGGGATGCTGAGGTCCCAGGATGTGAGCGCAGCCTGAGCTGAGGTGGGAACCCAGCACGCCTGAGAGCAGAGCAGCCTCGCCCCAGCCAGCCTGACTCCCCATGCCCTGACTTCCCTGCAGCCAGTCACTCCCGCTTCAACCCCAGCAAGTCCTCCACTTACTCCACCAACGGGCAGACCTTCTCCCTGCAGTATGGCAGCGGCAGCCTCACCGGCTTCTTTGGCTACGACACCCTGACTGTGAGTTGGCATGGGGAGTGGAGGCTGAGGCTGTGAGCTGTAAGCTGGAGGGGACAGTTAGATGGAGTCCCCTGAAACACAGTGGAATGCTGGTGTTCTGGTGTGCAGGACAGGAAGGCAGGACAAGACGGGTCTATTCAGTCACTCCCCCAACACTCACTGGTGGCCACCATGTGCCAGGCACTGGGGCACCATACTGAACAAGAGGGACATGGTCCTTTTCCTTAAGAAGCATAAGGCCTGAGGAGCTCAGAGAAGAAGGAGATGGGTGAGGAGGTGAGCTGTGGCAGTCAAGGAAAGCTATGCTGGAGAGGTGGCTCCTGCAACACCTGTCAAAAAGGGGCAGAGGTGGCCAGGAGCGGTGGCTCACGCCTGTAATCCCAGCACTTTGGGAAGCTGAGGCAGGCAGATCATGAGGTCAAGAGATCGAGACCATCCTGGCCAACATGGTGAAACCCTGTCTCTACTAAAAGTACAAAAAATTAGCTGGGCGTGGTGGTGTGTGCCTGTAATCCCAGCTACTCAGGAGGCTGAGGCAGGAGAATCTCTAGAATCAGGGAGGCAGAGGTTGCTGCGAGCCGAGATCGTGTCACTGCACTCCAGCCTAGTGGCAGGGTGAGACTCTGTCTCAAAAAACAAACAAACAAACCAAAAAACCAAAACAAACAAAAAAGTAGGGGGCAGAGGTGAGGAAGGGATGAACAGAGGCTTGAGGAGTCTCTAGGGGAACCTGGGGGAGGTGAGTGGAGTCAGACTTGTCATCTCCCCTCATTTGTGTCCCCATTAGGTCCAGAGCATCCAGGTCCCCAACCAGGAGTTCGGCTTGAGTGAGAATGAGCCTGGTACCAATTTCGTCTATGCTCAGTTTGATGGCATCATGGGCCTGGCCTACCCTACTCTGTCCGTGGACGGGGCCACCACAGCTATGCAGGGCATGGTGCAGGAGGGCGCCCTCACCAGCCCCATCTTCAGCGTCTACCTCAGCGAGTGAGCAACCAGCTGGCCGGTCCCCACCTCCCGGGGTGCTCCCCCCAGCCGCCCTGGACAACTGAGGCTTAATACTCAATGCTTTGGGGTTTGGAGACATTCCAGCGGGCATCTGGCTCCAGTCAGTCTTGCTCCAGGGCCTTACCTCCGGGGCTTCCTCTCAAATCCTCTCCCAGCCACCCCACCACACCCCAGCCCTGCACCTGTCCCCAGTCCCTTCTGACTTGTCTTTGCATTCCATAGCCAGGATGGAATCTCTTCCACAGCGGCTGAACTTTGCCCTGAGTTTTGCTGCTCTGATTCTCAGCACCCCTTGGAAAGGCCTCCTGGTGGAGAAGCGGGTGGGGCAGTTCGCTCACTTCCTTCTGACCCAATGTTTTCTACCTGTATCCCTCTTTTGCATAGTAATGTATTGCTTCATCTCCTTTTATCTACTGTTCTAGCCCGGTCCTGGAGTCTTCTGGTCTAGGTCCACCGCTGACCCCTAGCAGGTTGTTATCCTTGCCAGTCAACACAAGCATGTGCAGGCATTTAGTGAGACGGGCAGTGGGTGGGGGAGAGCGGCCTGGGGCCCGCTTTTCTTTTTTCTTCTTCAAAATTAGCCAGCCACTGGCTTGTTTTTTTTTTTGTTTTTTGTTTTTTTTGAGATGGGGTCTTGCTCTGTCACCCGGTCTGGAGTGCAGTGGTGCAGTCTCGGCTCACTGCAACCTCTGCCTCCCGGATTCAAGCTATTCTCTAGCCTCAGCCTCCCGAGTAGCTAGGATTACAGGCGTGCGCTACTGCGTTCGGCTAATTGTTGTACTTTTAGTAGAGACGGGGTTTCACCATGTTGGCCAGACTGATCTCAAACTCTTGACCTCAGGTGATCCACCTGCCTCGGCCTCCCAAAGTGTTGGGATTACAGGCGTGAGCCACCGCGACCAGCTTTAGCCAGCCACTTTCTAGAGACAGCTTCACTGGGCTAATCCCGGGAATCTGAAGTTCAAGGACCTCACCCTGTTACTAATGTTGCTAACTTCCTCTCCACCTCTGTTTACGATTCCTCTGCGTGTAAACAGAGCAGCTCCACCCAGCTCCACGCTCCAGCTACCAGGGAAGCCTCTGGAACAAACACGGAATATCCTTACCCCCTTCACCAAGACCCTACCTGTCTCCAATTTCAGCAGAAAAGTAACAAGCTGGGCCTGGGTGGGGCTCCCAGGGACATGTCTACCAGAGGCAGGAAGCGGAGGGGAGAGGAGAGCAGAGTGTGGGGTGGGGGTCCCAACCACTAGGGAACCCCCCAGATGTCAGCATCATTCGGGAGCCTGAGGCACTGGGAATTCCAAGGCCTGGCCAGAAAGCCCCAGTCTAAGGGACACATCCCCTTCCCCAGGGAGCCCCAATCTAAGGGATACAGCCCCATCCTCAGGGAGCCCCAGTCCGAGGGAGACACAGCCGCGTCCTCAGAGAGCCCCAGTCTGAGGGAGACACAGCCCCGTCCTCAGGGAGCCCCAGTCTGAGGGAGACACAGCCCCGTCCTCAGGGAGCCCCAGTCTGAGGGAGACACAGCCCCGTCCTCAGGGAGCCCCAGTCTGAGGGAGACACAGCCCTGTCCTCAGGGAGCCCCAGTCTGAGGGGAGACTCAGTCCTGTCCTCAGGGAGCCCCAGTCTGAGGAGAGACTCAGTCCTGTCCTCAGGGAGCCCCCGTCTGGAGCATGGAAGGAGCTCTGTTTCCCTGTGGAGGTGACTGCTTAGAAGGGAAGTCCTTTTCCCTGGCGCTCCCTGACTTCCCCTTCCCTTTCTCTCCTGCAGCCAGCAGGGCTCCAGCGGGGGAGCGATTGTCTTTGGGGGTGTGGACAGCAGCCTGTACACGGGGCAGATCTACTGGGCGCCTGTCACCCAGGAGCTCTACTGGCAGATTGGCATTGAAGAGTGAGTCTGTGGTGGGGCCCGGGGATGTGGCACTTCCTTGGAGTGGGCTTCCAGGCCATGTCACACACACACACACACAGTCTGGCACTGCTCTGGGATGGGGCAGAGGACCCCTGAGGCTTACTCCTACAAAGCTGCAACTGCCCTCTGCAGGAGTGACAAAGCCCAGCTCAGCCTGGAGAAGAGAGTGGGTGTGGACAACATAGGGCAGGACTTGGTCTCCCGAACATTAGGGACCCTGCAGTCCAACCCCATCATGGGCTCACAGATTAGCAATGAGGGTGTGTTAACAACTCATTTGCTCAAAGTCCTTACAATGAATCAGTGGCCCTGGTTTTCAGTGTTTTTAGAAACTTACTTGACACTTTTGAGGAACAGGTCCCATGGCGTGATGCAGGGGAATAGCTGGATTGATCTTTGCAGGGTCCTCACATTCCTCAAGAAAGTGGCTACAGCTGTTTGTCCCACAGCGGTGAGGAAAGCCCGCCCCAGCTGCCCTGAACTGGGGGAGTCCTGAGGCTGCCCGTCTTCTCCCCATACAGGTTTCTCATTGGCGGCCAGGCCTCCGGCTGGTGTTCTGAGGGTTGCCAGGCTATCGTGGATACAGGCACCTCTCTGCTCACTGTGCCCCAGCAGTACATGAGCGCTCTTCTGCAGGCCACTGGGGCCCAGGAGGACGAATATGGACAGGTGTGACTGGTGGGGGTGTCTCCCTTCCCCAGGAGGCTAGTCCAGAGGCATTCATGATTTCTCCTGAGAACACAAGAATAGCCATCTGGGCACCAGGCTCATGCCTGTAATCCCAACACTTTGGGAGGCCGAGGCAGGCAGATCTTTTGAGCCTAGGAGTGAGAGACCAGCCTGGGCAACATGGTGAGACTCTATCTCTACAAGAAATACAAAAATTAGCTGGGTGCGGTGACATGTGCCTGTAGTTCCAGCTACTTGGTAGGCTGAGGTAGGAGGATTGTTTGAGCCCAGGAGGTGGAGGCTGCAGTGAGCCATGATCTTACCGTTGCACTCCAGCCTGGGTGACAAAGCAAGACCCTGTTTCAAAAAAACAAAAGGCCTAACTCTTGACCTCCATGCCTCTATCTGCCCAAGGCACTGGAGGCAGGGGGACCTGGGACGACTGGGGCTGGGGGCAGGATGGGGGCCTGGAGGCTTGTTCAGGTGGGGCCAGCTGCTTGCACCAAAGGGGAGTGGGAGGTTACTATTAGGCAGGAATTTCTTCTGAGCCGCCGTCACTCAGCAGAAACAGAGGAAACACTTGCTGGACTTTGGGATAAGAGCAAAATGATTGGAATGTGGGGCTGAGTATGTGAGCAACCAGGGCTGACCCTTTATCCGCACCTCCCTCACCTCCACAGGGCCATGCTCCCCTGCGCCTGTCTGTCCTGAGTCCAGCCAAGGGTTTGTCTAAGTAACCCAAGCCCACTACCACTAATTTTAATTTTGGGAGACCAATGGGGTGCTCATGCAGATCTGTGTTTTTCTTTTTGTTTGTTTGTTTTTTGTTTTTGTTTTTTTGAGACGGCGTCTGTCTCTGTCACCGAGGCTGGAGTGCAATGGTGTGATCTCGGCTCACTGCAACCTCCGACTCCTGGGTTCAAGCAATTCTCCTGCTTCAGCTTCCTGAGTAGCTGGGACTACAGGCATACATCACCACGCCTGGCTAATTTTTTTTGTATTTTTAGTAGGGATGAAGTTTCACCATATTGGCCAGACTGGTCTTGAACTCCTGACCACAAGTGATCTGCCTGCCTTGGCCTCCCAAAGTGCTGGGATTACAAGCATGAGCCTCCACGCCCAGCCATCTGTGTTTTTGTTGTTGTTGTTTGGAGACAGAGTCTCACTCTGTCACCCAGGTTGGAGTGCAGTGACACAATATCGGCTCACTGCAAGCCCCGCCTCCTGGGCTCAAGCAATCCTCCCACCTCAGCCTCCTGAGTAGCTGGGACTACAGGTGTGCACCATCATGCCCAGCTAATTTTTGTATTTCTGGTGGAGGCAGGGTTTCGCCATGTCACCCAGACTGGTCTCGAACTTCTGGACTCAAATAATCTGCCTGCCTTGGCCTCCCAAAGTATTGGGATTACAGGCATGAGCCACTGTGCCCGGCCAGATCTGCATGTTTTAAAATGCCACTTGCAGGCTGGGCATCATGGCTCATGCCTATATATATATATAGACACTTGCAGAGAAAGAGCAGAGGTTCAATCTCTAATATGGGAAATTGAGGCAAGAGGAGTGGGGAGGTTCTGGGATCACTCTAAATCACACTCATTCTGTGAGTCCATGGGTATAATGCCAGCATTACCTACACAGGACTTTCCCTTGGAGCTGCACTTTCTAGTCCAAAAACAGGCTTAGGGCTTGGGTCCGGGGCTCAGGCCTGGGATCCAGGGGCCAAGATGATGGGGCTGGTGGGTGCTATCGGGGGAAGATGAGTTAAGCAGGGACCGATTCCTCTTGCAGTTTCTCGTGAACTGTAACAGCATCCAGAATCTGCCCACCTTGACCTTCATCATCAATGGCGTGGAGTTCCCTCTGCCACCCTCCTCCTACATCCTCAATGTAAGTCCTGGTCCCTGCAGGCTGAGCCACCATGATTGGGGGTGGGAGGAAGGGCTGGGGAGCTGGAAATGCTGGGTCTCCTACCTTGTGCCATTTTCTGACTCCGTGCTGCACTCATTTATCTTCCCCATTCATTGATTCTAAACCCCCTTCTCTGGAACAAGGCTATGAAACAGAAGATTGTCATGTATGATCAATTATTATTAATTAGTGGGGAGAGGCACTGGGCTCTTTGTTGAGCACTTACAGACCACTGTGTAAAGCACTTTGCTTCATGATCCCATTTAATTGTCACAGTATTTAATGAGGGAGATACTCATTTCTGTTTTACAAATGAAAACTTGGAGGTTCAGAGAGGTTGAGTAACTGACTCAAGGTGACACAGCTAAGGTTTGAATCCAAGTTGGTTTGGCTCCAAGGTTTAATCACCAGGCTGATCTGCTCCAAGTTGGGAACAGGAGGGAGGTCTGTGGGAAGAGAAGTTTCCCATCATGGGGAGAAGAGACCCTGCTGAGGACCACCACAGCCTGAATGTACCTGTTCCAGAAATCCTCCCACCAGCTCTGCTCTAGTGGCTCAGCTGGCCTATGAGCTCTCAAGGCAGAGATCCTGGCTCCCTCAGCTCTGTACATGGGCTCCCAGTCCGGGGCTCAGAGCTGAGCAAGACCCAGCTCATGTGTGAACAAATGAATGAGTGCTGCCTTTCTGTGTTGAGCAGAACAACGGCTACTGCACCGTGGGAGTCGAGCCCACCTACCTGTCCGCCCAGAACAGCCAGCCCCTGTGGATCCTCGGGGATGTCTTCCTCAGGTCCTACTATTCCGTCTACGACTTGAGCAACAACAGGGTGGGCTTTGCCACTGCTGCCTAGACTTGCTGCCTCGACACGTGGGCTCCCCTCTTCCTCTTGGCCCTGCACCCTCCTGGGGCATTGTATCTGTCTTTCCACTCTGGATTCAGCCTTCCTTTTTCGGACTCTGGACTTTCTCTAATAATAAATAGTTCTTCTTTATGTTGGTCATCCTGTTGTTTTTGGAAGGGAGTTTTCCCTGAGTGGCTAGGAGGTTTCCTGGTGGGTGACTGTGATTCTAAGAGAAATGGGACCTAAGGCATGGCTTGGGATGGGCTCTGTAACCCTCAGAACTTAAAGTTCACACTTTTCCCCTGGAAAGGGAAGACAGTGGTAGCGCCATCATGGGTGGGTGGGCCGTGGGCAGGGTGGGGAGAGTGTTCCTGTGTGATAGGCAAAGAGGGCCTACTTTAACAACCTAAAATGCTCTGCTGGCTGGGCATGGTGGCTCACACCTATAATCCCAGGACTTTGAGAGGCCAAGGTGGGTGGATCACTTGAGGTCAGGAGTTCGAGACCAGCCTGATCAACATGGTGAAACCTTGTCTCTACTAAAAATACAAAATTAGCCAGGCATGGTGGCACATGCCTGTAATCCCAGCTACTTGGGAGGCTGAGGCAGGAGAATCACTTGAACCCAGGAGAAGGAGGTTGCAGTGAGCCAAGATTGAACCGTTGCATGCCAGCCTGGGCAACAAGCGTGAAACTCTGTCTCAAAACAAAAAATAAATAAATAAATAAATAAATAAATAAATAAATAAATAAAATGCTCTGCTGACCCGATTTACCAAACTACCACCAGAACTACCCCAGTGACACTGGGACCCACATGTATGTCTACTAGCAGTGTGATTAGTGGTCTAACACACCCCAGGTCTAGGTGGCTGTCTCCTCATCTGCTGATCAAATTTGAATTAGAAGTTTCTGAGGAATTCTGGATGCCCATGTGCACTTGTAACAGTCATGGGGTCCTTTAGGGAGGAGGGCAATGCTGCCAGAAACTATTTCTTGGGGGGCTTCAAAAGGCCAGGGCTGTTAGGCTGATAGTATTTTTACCCAGACCTCTATGTCCCAGGATGTGTATTTGAAGAAGGGTTCCTCTCAGCTGTGGAGAAGAGGGAGAGCTACTTGAGTCACAGAGAAATGGAGCCTACTTGCTCTAACCAACTCAGCAAGGGATCTTGTGCCTTTGGACTTCATCCCTGTCCTCCTCAGGAGCCTCTTAGCAAAAGATACAGAAACCAGGAGCAACGTGGTATGTGGGGAAGGAGAGGGAGGGCGAAAAAGAGGAGGGGGAAGGAGAAGAAAAGCAGGGGAGGGGCGGGGGGAGGAGACAGGGAAAAAGGGGCGGGGAAGAGGAGAAAGTAGAGAATGATGCCTCCGCGCCCTGTGAACTTCCAACAAGGGAAGGTGACATGAAAGGAGATCAGACAATTTCTGTCCAGCAACATGACAGCAAGCTCCGGCTGGTGAGTGGGGCGTGAATGTAGAATCCATAATGGGGGCAGGCTGCCTTCTACAGTCATATTTTACCCTGTCATTTGCCAGTCTCACCCCGGCCTTGCCCCTTATGATCGGGGCAGGGATAAAAGCGCAAGATCCAGATCTTGCACCCTACTCCTGAAGAGAAACTGGAATTTGCCACAGGTGGAGTTTCTATGGCAACAGCGCACCATCTGGGACCCCTCTATCTTAGACTGCCGAAGGACAGCCGGCTGCAGGTTCCTTCTAGGGGGTCGGACACGCTACAGAATGTATCGTAGTAAGCCCTGGTTTGGGACATTACTGAGAGGAGAAAGAAAACTTGCAAAGGGGTAGAAGTGGAACAGAGGTTCCGAATCAAGAGCCTCTTTCCCTGAAAGCTTTGGTCTGCTGAGCGGGACTACAAATCCCGGCGTGCCTAGAGGGAATACAGCGAGAACTACGCTTCCCAGTGGACGCCGCGGTCGAGCTGCTGGGAGGCGGGGCGGGTGCTGCCCTCTGCCGGGAGCGGAGGGAAGTGTGCGCCGAGTGACAGCCGGAGCCCGGGCGCCGGGCGCGGGGCTCGGTGACAGCGGAGGCGGCGGCCCGGGCGGGACGCAGGGAGCGGCCGCGGCGCCGACGGCGGCGGGAAGGGAGGACAGGGCGGGCCTCCCTGGTGGCGCGGGGCCTGAGCAGCCGGGAGCAGGTGGCGGGCACAGCTCGCGGGCCAGGCACCCGAACTTGGGACAAGTTGCCGGAGCCGCGGGGCGCGGGCGGCGGACAGATTGACCTTCATAGCGAGGTGAGCGGGACTGGGGGGCGAGGGGCGCGAGGAGGGCCCGGGACCCCCGACCCAGGCTCCCTGGCCCCTATCCCGTGGGTCCCGGAGACAGGTGGGTGGGTGGGGGATGCCGGCAGGAGAGGGAAGCAGGACCGTGCGCGCCGCCACCCACCCGCAGTCCGTCCGCCCCCGGGCGCCCAGCGCGTGGCCCGAGCGGCGCTGCCCGCCGAGCCGGGAGCCCCCTCGGCCCCTCCCTTCAGGCGCGGGCCGGGGGCGGCTTCTCTGCGACCTTATGTAACCGGGCGGGAGGGGCCGGGCGGGCATGGCCTTCCCGGCCCGGAGCTGGGAGTCGAAGGGGCGGGAGGCGTGATGGTGAACTTGCAAGAAGTTTGAGGGACGCGCGGGCCCCGCGCCCACTCCCCCTCCACCGGACCCGGCTGGGGCAGACGATGCCGGAGAGGGGGTCGGAGGTAGGGGAGGTTTGCGGGGGCTGAGTCTGGCCCGGCCAGCGGGGGAGAGTGGGAGGGCCGGAGTGGCGCCACGCCCCGGGGGCTGGGCTGCTGGAGGGGGGGCGGGTGGAAGTACCATCTCTCCCTCCCTTCCCGTCCCTTCCTCCAGCTCGGTCCCTTGAAGAAGCCGCCCCTGGCCTCGTCCTCTTGAGTCCCTGGGCAGTCTCTTTCTCCCCGTGGGTTATTCCATGACCCTGGGAACACCAACCCCGGAGCGCTCCCTCCGTGCGCCCCGTTGTCTGCCTCCCCCGGAGTTCCCAGCCGCCTGCCCGCCCCCCGAGTTTCCCCCTCCCCCCGTCTCGGTCCCGAATCCCGGAAAACACGCTCCCTTCCCCCCAATCCCCCGAGTCCGCGCCGCCCACCCCCGGGCTGTCCCGACCAGCTCTGGCCCAGCGCGTCCGCTCGCCTCCTGGAAGGGAGAGGGCAGATGCCAACTCGGCCCCCGCCCCTCGGCCCCCTCCCCGCGCGGGGTTCCGGCTTCACGCACGGCTGCCCCGAGCTGGTCCGGGCTGCGCGAGCAGGTTCGCGCCGCAGCCGCCTGGCGCGCCCCAGCCCCGCGTCCCGGGGGAGGAAGGGAGGGCGCCCGGGGCGGGGCTTGTCTGCGCGAACCCTGCTGGGCCCAGGCCCCCGCCCTCCGTTCTCCGCCAGCCCCTGGCCGCTGCGCCTTCCCCCGAAACCCCTGTTAGCTCCAGCCGTCGTTTTCTCGCCTGTCCGTTCTGGGGACGGTTCAGCGCGGAGCTTCTGCACTCAACTTGAGCGCAGTTTTTGGCTTAGCACTCGCTGGGGAAGTGCAGGTTAATTACTGCCCAGCTCCCATCCCCTGCCCTCCCTCCATCCCGAGTGAGGGGCTGCTTCATCCCTCAGTGAAAGGATGCAGGCCCCTAGCGACACCTCTGGGATGTGGTGGCCTCAGGCCCCTACACCCGCCCTGGCCGAGATTCCATTGGCCCAGACATGGCACTGTTGGGCAGCTGGAGATGAGGTGGGAGGCTGGTCTCTGGTTTCCTCCTGGGTGGCCAGATGCGGACGCGCTTGGTTAGAATGCAGTTCTTGGTGCCACGACTGGGAGACAGTCCTCAGGCCCTCCCCTCAGGGAGCGCACTGTCCGGGGAGGGACAGCCAGCAGTAGTTCCTGGCCTGCCAGGAGAGGCAGAGGAAGGGGAAGGGTCAGCTGCCTTGAGGTCCCTGCCTGCTAACCTGACGGTATGCTTTCACCATGCCGGTGTCCCCAGCCCCAGGACTATGGGCAACTCGCCTGGCTCCCTTCTTTCCGTCCGCTTCTTGGCCGCGAGGCCCGGAGAGCTGGGAGCCAGAGGGTGTAAATGAAGGGCAGGGCTGTTTGGGTGACGACATGCTCTGCTTCTCCCCGAGGGAAGCCAATGGTGCTTACCATTTACAAGGCCTGTTACAGCTGCAGGGTTATTTTGTCCTCAACTCAGCTCTGAGAGGCGGAGCCAAATGGGGACCCAGGTATCTTGGTCCTGGGTGCCCTGGAAGGAGTTCAGGGGCTAGGACAGGGGACACCCTAGGTGGGCACCGAATCCAGGGAGAGCCAGCTGGGCTTTTGCGGGCTAATGGCCTGGTGATTCACAGTCAGAGGTGGGCAGGGAGTGGGCCAGGGCAGGCAGGAGCCCTTCCAGGGTCCCACGTGCCTCCTCAGCCTGTTTCTGGAAAGCTGGGAAGTAGGTGGAAGGGGACTCCCACCCCTCAAGCCTGGCTGCCCTTTGAGGGTCTAGCTTTTGGCCCTGAGCCCTCCTGGGGCCCTGTTTATGACTGTAATTGCATCATTAGCCAGAGTTGATGGAGTTACTTAGCACCTGCCCCCACAGGGAGTGGCCCAGCCACCCCCTGGGTTCTGTCTCTTCCTTTTCAAAGTCAGCTCGGTTTCTGCAGGCAACAGGGGTTTCCCCAACCACAGCTGTCATGAAAACCAGGTTGGGCCTTTGTCCTGGGGATGGAGGTCAGTCAGCACTTGGGGCCCGGCTTGGGGCTGCCCTGGAGATGACCATGGAAATTGGGTTGGCCTCCTCTGATCGGAGGGAGGGAGTTCATGGTTCCCAGAGCTGCCAGAAATGTCCACATCCCAGGATGCAGTGAACACATGTGCATGTGCAGTGTGGATCCTCATCTGAGAGGAGGGAGATGAAAACACACCCACCTCACAGGCTGTTGTGAGGACTAAGGGTGCGGCAGTGCCTGGTACATGGTGAGTACATGATGTTGCTTTCTGGATTGGTGTGCGGTTTGTGTACTGGTTGTGAGTTTGTGTGTGTGGTTAAAGTGTCTACAAATGTGGGTATAGATGAATTGTGAATGTGTGCCTATGAGAGTGTAACAATAAAACAAGATTATATTAATAGAATATTCATCTCTTCTTTTATGCTATACTAGAACAATATTATAATAAGATT